AGAGAGAGAGAGAGAGAGAGAGAGAGAGAGAGAGAGAGAACGACAGGAATTGACATGCAGACAGACGAAGGAGAAGCAGGCGTGGTTGTTAGGAGAAGGATCGTGACGCGGTGAGCGTGGATGATGGACGGCCCTTCAGTGTGTGGTAGTGCGCAAGTATCGGCTATACCTCGGGTTAGGTGTCACTGAAGCGCCACAAGCAGAAAAAGAAACAGGGTTGTCGTATTCCCAAGGGACAGGCTATTCTATCTGTCCGCAACAACGACGAGTGCTGTTGCTATAGCCTTCGACGACCCACATCAGGAGCTCCGTCTTCGGGTATTCTGTCGGCCCGATTCTCGAAGTGGCTCGATGACCCTGCCATGGAAAAAACACCACGGAACGGGTAAGGTTCTTAGTCTATCCTTCGTTTCATGGGTGCACGCATGCCTTCGCCCATGTAACCACTGTCGTGACAACACCGAAACGAATTCACATAGGCCATAGACTGCCACAGCCAAACCATCCCCTGCTCCTCCTCCTCCTACTACTACTACTACTACCCCCCCGTTACTCTCCACTCCTGAATAGTATACCTGCTACATGCTTCGAAACTACGCCATGCCATTCAACATGTTAAACAGACATGACAGCAGTGTAACTACTGTTGTAGCTGTGAAGCCTTCACCGAAACAACAGCGAAAAAACTCTGGTCTTTGAATGCCACCAAGCCATCATCACGTGGGTTTCTTAGTTGTCGGGAGTGCCTCGTTCAAGTACACACAGCAGTCGATATTCGCAAGAGAGGAATTGTATATGTTCCTACTTAATTCGTCGGCGAGAAAACACAGCAGTACAGCAGTCACCAGTCACGGGAAAAAATGTACAGCACTGTACTGCCGTGGGCGGGTGACTGCCATTCCTGGAACATTCTACCAAGGAGACCGACCAATTTGGCTAGCCGCTCCAGCGAGCGAAAAAAAACATGAGCGAGGACACGCGGGCCGCTAAGAGTCACCGCGCTGCTTTCTGTGCTGTTTTCGAGCCCACCGTTCTGAACCCTGGCCGCGCAGCTGATGCAGTTCCCCCTCCTGCACTCGTACGATAGGTTCATACCCGACATTTCCGCCTACCGCACGCGCGGGTGGTGGTTGGTCAAAAAGCTAGGAATTGGAGAGGGTACATAACTAACTGTACTGCAGTACTACCGACGAACGACGGGCTTACTCAATGGCAACGTGCAGGGAGCAGAGGTCAGAAACAAATGCCTCAAAAAAGGCCCTAACTTGGAAGTGGTAGCACCATTTTTTGTGGTTGCACCTGCGGTCTTGTGGAAGCAGACGAAATCTGGTGCCCACAGCAGTTTCTCTATTGGGTAAACACCGCGTGGTGCTGAATTCTGATCGGCCGAAATCGTCGGCCACTTACGACGGGATGTTTTCACTCGGGACTCCTCCCACTCCCAAACTCTACAACTCTCTGCCACATAGGGGTGTGACAGCGACACCTAGAAGTTGAGAGTGGGAGAACAAGTCCCGAGTTTAAGCACTCGAAGCCTGGGTACAGCAGTACCCTGACAAAACCCAAAACAAACAAAAAAACAAGTTAAACGACAAGCGCGAGAAAAGCACAACAGGCAGAGATGGCGCCCACTCACCGCCTCCAAAATGCTGTCGCCAGGTTGGACAGTGATCACCCGCCTCTCGCCGTGGAAATCGACCTCGACATCCCTGACAACGTTTCACATGCAGGCGGAGAGTAAAACAAAAACAGCAGTCTTGGTCCCATCTTGATCTTGAGGAAGACACTAAGGCAGACAACATACATCGTACGATGACGGGGGGCCCAAAATGCGAACCAAAACTGTTCCTCTCCATTAGCTTGCAATCTGCGGTATGCATGCATGAAAAAGGCATCAGCTCCGGCTAATGTCCATCGGGAAAATATAACATATATCTCACCATGGACGCTCCAGCACAGAGCGAGGAGGCTTCCCTTCGCCACCCTTGCCCTCATCGCCGCGCTCCTCTCCCCCGCCGCCTCGATCCGCTGCCACACCCAACTCCGTGGCGTGCAGGCCCCTCTTTGCTCTCGGCCTTGTCGAGCACGCAGGAGAGGTCGTCTGAGCTACAGTCGGCGTTGTCGCTGCCCCAAGACCGCAACCAACAGCGGACGGTCTACGCTCGTGTGGGCTCGGCAAAGCAGGCACGAACGCGGAGGAGAGGGGGCAGAGGAGGAGGGCAGCCGTGGCAGCGGCGCGGTGCGCGAATGGCGGCATCGTTCGCTGGAAAGGGCACGCGGACGGTGCGATGGACCGGAGGGGGTAGAGTCAAGGGAATGGGATCAAAGGGGGGATCATGGGGAACAGACTTGATGACATGGGCTGGATGCGATTAGCATACAATATATGCATAGCTGTGGGTAAGCTGGCTTGACGGACGAAGCCTGTCCAGTCATCATCGCAGCGCGTGCGTGTGATCGCGAAAGGGAAATTTCCGAAAACAAACGCGTTTTGCTGCTGCAGGCGAAGCCAGACAGACAAGAGCAATGAATACATAGAAATGAGCGCTTGCGATCGTCATTCGATGACAATACTCGTGCACTACGGTGCGTGCTGTTGCTGAATCCATGGTTAGAGACTGAGGTGTCGTTGTTGGGTTAACGGAAAAGGAAGGTTGAATTTTCCCGCCTTGCCGCCACTTATCTTTCGAGTATTGGCTGCTGAGAGACAGAGCGTTGCCAATCGATCCAAAAATCAAACCCGAAAAACGTTTCATGACCACATGAGGTACTGCTGCAACAACACAACACAGCGCAGCACGTGCCATCGTCACCAAGTACAGTGCACGTTCGACAGGCCATGCGCGGACACAGGATGTAAGAGAGAGAGAGAGAGAGAGAGAGAGAGAGAGAGAGAGAG